ATTTTCAACATTAAACAACTAATGTACAACGCATGTTAACCACACTAGTTATCTTAGAAAAGTACCAGCAACCAAAATTGAATCGACTTGACGCCAAAACTAAATCACATCCCTTCACCAAAAACTTCAAATTCATCTATTTAAACCAAAACATAAATAGGACTGATGGGCATACCGTGAAGACGGCTAGAAGAAGAACATGAAATTTGTAGTAGATTAAATCGGAATTTATTGAAGGAAAATCGACAGTGTGCCAATTGAAGGAATTGGGATTGGGGGATCTACAAGAACTTTTGAGGCTAAGCAAATTGGAATTAGGTCTGCCAACAACCAAATCGATGAAATTATTTAAGCGGTAAGGAGGGGGCAAAAATTTCACAGTAGAATGTGTGGAAAAGACGTGTGTTAGTTATTTGTGGGTTTTTGTAGTATTTGGATTTGGGTTTTGTTACACGTTGTACCTAATGTTCAAGTGAGATTTCATTCTTGATTGATAAAAAAAATAGTTTCTTCATCGGTCAATGATGAAATGTCACTTGAATATTATATACATCAGTATCTAAACTCTAATCTACACGTAGAATAAATCTTTGAATTTTATTAACAAAAAATAATTATTTTTTTATATTTCTTTTCAATTAACTTTTCACTTTAAATTACATTTTGTAGGGATTTAAAATACAAATAGTAAAAATAAAATTTTCCCACTAATTATGAGCCCACGAAGATGTCAAATATTTTTTTCAGGAAAAGATATATCTTGATTGTTAAACATTTTTGTCTGGAAAACTATAATTTTTTACGGGGCACGAGTCATCCCACTATTGAAAATTTTGAAGCGAATACAGCCCTACGCAATGTCATTTTTGTAGGAAAAAGTGAATTCCTCCTACAAATCTCAATTTGTTTTCCAAAAGTTTGTAGAGAAAATATAAATTTCTTGTAGTGTAATACTTTTAGGGTTTTAACATCGGTAATAAAGAGTTCGTTGGACGTTATTTAATTACCAGATTTGAGCAAAGAAAAATGTAATAATCAAGTTAGCAGTCATTTTCTTTTCAATTTATATACTGTATAGTAATGA